ACAAGACCCCTCATGTAGCGGAGGTAATCGCAAATGGAGAGCAGTTAGATCTCTATGCGAATTCAACCTGAGCCATTGAGTCAATAATCGTTCTTTTCTCAAAGCGATGGAATGAGTCCAAAAGATTATCGCAGAATACATTTTACAGTTGGGAAGCATAGCATTAGGCTTCAATGAGCTCGAACACGCTAAGCGATTCGACTAATTCACGCACACTAACGTGACTTTTAGCTTAATAGAGGTTAATTGGGAAAAAAGAGCAATTGTAAAGGCACCGTAAACATGAAGATCAGTGAACATGGATTTCAGTGTGGAAAATTGTCTAGTATGATGGATCACTAAGATCAAAGTCTCCCAAAGTGGAGGCACCAAAAAATACCCTCTTTTGATTGTGGTTCCGAGAGCACACTCGCGTGCTGAAGCCGAAGCTCACGGAGCGCAGCATAGGGCAGATCCTTCACGGCCACTGATAAGTTCTGGAGCTCACCACGCCGCTTCTAGAACGAGAGAAGAACTATCTGACAGCTAGGATACTTGCACAAAAAACACAAACTATGGGATAATCCACCTTGCGAGGTGTAATAACTGTTTCGAAGTCGTGATAGACAACAACTTGGTGGTCTTTGGTAAGTTGCACATCCATCTCCACAAAATCCGCCCCCTAGACAGAGATTACGAGAAAAAAAGGTTAGCAAGTAATAGATAAACAAAAGATAGACATCCATTTATGCTCCCAAACCGCTGCAGAGTTTTTTTAAAAGCGTCAAAACCTTTGTTTGAAATTGTGGAATCTTGCTTAGCCAATGCAGCATTAGTGCGAAGAGATGACGGTCTACAGCAGTTTCAACGAACGCTTTCGACGGAGCCTAGTATTATTTTCCAAACCATCAATCCAGTCCAATCATTCATCACAAACTTGGTAGACTTTCTGATCATCCACACAGAAAAGGCCTGTTGACGAAAAGTGGCAGCACAGTAGCAATTTGAAAGAGAAAAAATAAGTCTACGCTACTCTTCTGCTGCTGAATGGAAGAAAATGTTGAGGAATAATTACCAAGTAGGTATGATAGTCAAAAAATAAATTAACTTGGTTACTCAAAGAACAAAACATTGGATGAGAGGTCTTAAAGTCAGGAAAGAATACTTATCAAGGTAGAAGACCAAAGTGGAGAAGGAAAGGGTGAGATTAATAGCAAGAGTTAAAAAGACGATGCAAGCCTTGAAGATGAGCTTGATAAACAATTGTACTTGATTTTCGCTAAAAGAGCAACAAGCTGAGAAAATCATACAAAAGGGAGGATTATAAACGCTCCAAAGAAACGCTAAAAAGAAAGTGAAAGTCTCCTGTAAAAGAATGGAATGGAAAGATTGATGCTCTAGCAGCCACTTCAGAGGGACCACAACACCACCTAAGGCTTTTACCAGAAAAAAAGGTAAAATAATTTCGTAGAGCCTTGGAAGTGTGAAAATCAAATAAGAGCTCGCGTCAAGAAATGTGCGTATGGGAGAGTAAAGTTGAGAATGAACTAAAATGCCTAATGACAATAAGGGGGGCTAAGGAAAGGGACAGGCAAATGCAATTACATGGTCGACCGCGGCCTGGAAGGACCGAAGCGTATTTTCCTTAACCGGCGCCGGTCTGAAAGGGGCAAAAAGAGTGAAGGCTGCGGTCCCCAGGGCGGTGCGAAAACAAAGTCACCGCGTCCTCCTATTGATCGCGATCATGGAGGACTGAAGGGAGAAGCGCTGGACGCTGAGGGCGCCCTTGACGATATCTACATACTTAAAGTAAACCCAGAGCTACTCCGGAAACTTGTTCCGCCCACATTTCAGATGAGGCTTTATGGAAAGCAATGACACCTTCCACTGGCAAACATAATGCAGTGCATTCACAAACCTCTCGCATAAAAGCAAACCAAACTTACAACTCAACGTCCTTCTCCTTTTTTGTTAAATAATAAGTTCCCATCCCACGATGACCGATTTCCAAGGTACCTCGATTCTTCCAGTAGTGCTTGTAGCTCACATCCAACGTCGGTGAAGGTCCATCGAGAATTGGGTTAATGACAACGAAAGAGACTGCACCAAAAGGCAGCACATGACCCATAATGGTAATAAACATCACCATAATTCTACGTACAAAAAAACCTACTGCGGACATCACCCATTGGCGTTCGTCTTCGGCTGAGAAGTTGCGACCGCTTTTGGCCCCAACACCCAGAGAACGGTCCGAAAAATGCTGACCCCAAAAATTTGACAGGTGGCAGTTTCTTTTCTTCAGCTTTATATAATTTAACGCGAAGTTATGGGGGATGATACAACATATTTAACAAAAGAGGTTGAAAGCCATTTACCCGTTTCGTATTCCTGCGGAACCTCCACGTAGAACTCTAACTCTACAGCAACGTCTTCTGCGTTGTCGGTTTCAATGTAAAAAGTGACGTCATCTCCATTGGAATAAAGAGTACCCCAGCATCCAGTATGTTCTCCAAGGCGACGAGTGCAACGTTCTTTGGAAAGAACAGAGAGAAAGACGGGTGGCTCGCCTGTCTGACTAAGAGCAGGGGATACAGACCTCGGTGTCGAAGGACAAGTTGAAGGGCGGCTGGAAAAAGGTGAGACAGAGAATTCTGGCCGCCTAGGCGGTGGAATGGAGAAGGCGCTGTTTTGAGTGCTGCGAATAGGTAATGACTGGTTGACAGTATGTGGAGTGTGGTTAACAGTGATGTTGCTAGAACTGTCAGAAGAATCAATTAGCTGAGATCGAATCTCTGCAGCTAGGCTTTGTTCCAGCGAATAGACCATATGGCTCGAACTCCTGGCGATTGGTTGCGCGCTGACATTCCTGTTAGGGTATATTGGAGCCTCTAAATGTAAGTGTCGATGATGGTAGGCATAAGATCCCACCCAAATAACACAACAGAGGGCAATTAGATACACTCGTACTTACCGCCTTCCAATGCAGTTATTAGGCCATTTTCTTCAACTATTGACTGTCGACATGTTACATAAACTCGGCGACCAGCCAGCTTAGTAAGATCCCGTGTTGATGATGAAAGACCAGGAACGGCGTTTTTTGACAATTTCAGCGCCAAACCAGACAGACGGATTCGCAATTCAGAGTGAGACATAAGGTAACCGCGTTGAATATAAGTGCCATTATCTGAGCGGTGCTATGAGTAATAGAAGCACTTACCAAACTTGCCAAATCTAACCGTATCTATGGTGATTTGACCTTTATTAAATGCTATAACGTTACGTCATAATTATTCAATCAAATTACCAGCAAGATCAAAGGTGCGAGGTTTCAATCTTGACTCCCATGCAAGAACGACTAGTCTCTTCTCTACAGGATCACTTTCAATATCAATACGCCATTCAGCCACATAAAATCTATACTGCAGAGTTAGTGGAAGTTTTGACTTTGGGACAGCACAGGACCAAATGTCGCAGCTGCAACAAAATATCGTAACACCAAAAATGCATACCCAGAAGATTTTTGGGCCTCAAAACGACACCTCAAACCATCTATTGGATTCCAATTGCCAAATTCAAAAGAGCTCCCGACTATGCCAACAAAATAACGACTTGAGCTTGAGGTATCGGCATTACACAGATAAACACATATCTCTTCGAGAGCTTTTGTGTCAACAAGAACTGAGAAAGGAATTGTTTGAGC